GAAGATCTTCTGAGCCAGGTGATGTAAAGAGATGTTCCCATCCTGAGAACAAAAAAACTGCTTCATACACTGAGGAAAGGAGCACCTCCGGGCGCTATGATAACAAGAAATCGCCAAGAGCTTCAGAAGAGAAGAGACGTCTCCAATATCCAATTGAAATTAAACCTCCCCAAGATTTCGTGAAGAGGCCTAAGAAGAGGTCTCTCAAAGACCTTCATTTCGAAGAGAAGAAAGCGCTGAAATGTTCTGAGAAAACGAAATGTGTCAAAAACTCTGAGGAGAAACAACTTGCTAGAGATAACCAAAACAGGAAACCTCGCAAAAACGCTGAGGATAAAGGATCTAAAAAGCAACGTGAGGAAAAGAGTTCTCCTAAACACCCTGAAGGAAGGAAATATTCTAAACCTGTTCAGGAGAAACAAAGTCGAAGACCTCGCTCCGCTCCGCAGAAAGACGAACGTATCATAACTTCTAGGGGGTAAATTTTTTCCCACCATTTTCAGGCGATTCTTAGAAAAGTCTCGCATTTCTTGTAAATTACGGATTTTAGCTTCTTTTTTTTCGTGCATTTGCTGGATTGTGTAAACAACAGATATTGCAACGATCTCATTGCAAATTGTTGTACTTATCACATAATGCCTTACTGTAGAGGAAATGTTTGAGTGTGTTTTTCAAAATCATTCCGTTGAGCGACTGCCAGTGATTTATTGACTGAGATAACACCTGCTATGACAACTGCCTTGAAATTCGAATCGTTTCAGGTGTAGTTATTATCTTGTTGTGAATTACTGTTGTATCGTTTGGCATGATTTTTCTGTGAATAAACATGTTGCTGTAGTTGGCTATGTGCCACCTCTTAATGTATTCACTCAATGCTTTGAAGCAAATACCTTCAAGCTGCTATCAAGAACAACTCGTGATTTGAAATATACTATCAGTCTAACTGGAGTACATGTAACTCTAGGAGTTCTAATGAACCCGATAGTGTTTGGATGATTTGAGGTAAAATTAAAACTTGTACGACTCAACTTCACAATGTTAAGCTAGACCCATTCACGACTACGGCGAAGACCTTTTTTGCCGTTTTCACTGCCGCAGTTCGCTTCGTCCATTCCAATGTTGATTGGAGCAGCCTCCCCACAGCTGTCTAAACAAATAAACATTGATTTGCCAGTATGACTCGTTACATTGTGCCTTCAGTTGCTATATCGTAAGTTCAGCCAACGTTATGAACTTCTATTTTTGCTTCATTTTGTTACTGCAGCTACCAATCCCTTTCAGTGCCATATACTCAGCTTATCGGTCATACTTTGATTCTAACTCACCTAGTGCTTTCGGTGTTCGAACAGTTGAAGAAGCAGTTGAATCTCTTAACGCAAATGTCAACGCGCTTGAAGCACTTCGTTTCATTCAACTTGCGAAGCCAGGTATTTATAGTCACTAGTTTCTCTTGCCCAAGTGTTGAAAGGTCAATTTTTCATCACAATGTACTTATGATAAAAAAGTGCATTTCGCTTTGGTCCTTTCAA